CTCCTCAGTACACGTGAATGCGGTGTACCAACATTCCCAAACGAAACTGAACTCTCATAAACTTTGTATGTAAGATAATACCAACTGTGTAACAGCGTTGTTCCCTTTTTGCTCATCATTTTATAGAGGATTTACTTACTAATAATAAAGAAACACTTTTATCGTGTGCGTGCATTGTACTTGGCAAGGATTGAGGTTCTCACGGCCATCTTCTGTGTTGTACTTCGTTCAGGAGTTTTTAAATCAGTTGGCAATGTCTTCATTGATGCCAACTGCGAATTCTGTTTGGAAATTGCAGACATCTACTTTACCAGCCAAAAGAATAGTTTCTACACGTGTTTTTGCTTTATTCGTTTATGTGTACGCCAGTAGAGTAGGACGCATCGTACTTCGGAGAGAGGCTGAAGAAAAACAAGAATTTTTTTGTGGAACTCCTTTTGACTTAGATCTGACCTCCTGTTTCTCAGTAATATTTCATTTAGAAGTGAAGTCTTTGATATAATTAATTTTCACTGATGTTTGAAGAAGTGGGGAGACCTAGACGTAGATGGGAGGATAATGTCAGGCGGGATCTATGGGAGATAGGAGTTGAAGGAGACTGGATTCTGTTGGCCCAGGACAGGGTCCGGTGGAGGGCTTTGGTTAATTCGGTGATGAGCTTTCGGGTTCCGTAAGCCAGCTAGTTAGATAGTGATGTTTGAAGAACGTCCCTTAGGACAGAGTGCCCTGTGTTCTAGGCTCGTGACGACCTCTCCGTGCGGGTCCAGCAGCCAGAGACTGAGAGCCGAAGAGGGAGGAATGCGGACTGATGCTTTTTTATTTCACACAGCTCTGTGAAGTGAACACATGGGCGACGAGCCCAGATAACACTGTCACGACTTACATTCCTAATTAAGATTTAATTTTAAAAACAAATATAGTACACTTTCTTTGTGTCACACACACTGAGAGCTGATAATTACCGCAGGAATAAACTTGTTCACACCGATCGCTTTCTCAGCAGATGATCTGGATAACGTGGGGTGAGACATGACAGTGCCTGTGTCCTGCGAACCCCGTTCACACCACTACGCTAGCCCTGCTGCGATCTTGCGTAGGCTTCATTCACAACACGATGCTAGCGCCACTTCTCAGTCTTAATAGAGCACTGAGAATATTATTTGCGAAATAAAAACTGATCGTATGATTATTTAAACAAAATATTCCCTTGGCGCAAAGTGATTTATCTACCGCTGGTGTCCTAGTCTCTCGTTACATCATGCCACTTACTTAGCACGTTTAAAACGTACCAACGAAGTGCTGTGAATCAAATTCAACGGAGCAGAGTTCTCCTTATGATAGTTGCTGGCTACGGTATTCCCATTTTTCTAATTATTAAATATTTATTACGAGTCGATTCTAAAACAAATAAATTCTGTCCACATAATTCCACACAATTTCTTTAACATGCATTTTAATATCATCCTCCCATCTATGCCTAGATCTTACAAGTGGTCTCTTTCTTTCTGATTTACTGACCGAAATTCTGTGTGCATTTTTATATCTCCCGTGCTTGTTTCGTGCTACGCCGTTCTTATGCACCTTGATTTATCCACATTCTGTTTCTCTAGAAATCGCGATATAACATTTCATGTCGCTTATCTTGTTGCTACGCGAACATACAAGAGTAAGCGCAAAATCGACGTATGTCCAATATGCAGTTGCTTAGTAACCGTTTATGCATGGTTATTACAGCGATTCACCACAATCACTAAATGATAAAACGTGTGATATAGCTTCTTTTTCGTTTTTCAAATCTAAATTTAATTTTAATTAAGAATTATATTAATTTTCTTTCTTGCAGCTTGCAGCTTTCATGTGTCAGTTAAGAGGCAAATTGCAAGAAGACGTCACACAAGTTTAAAGCGATTTGAATGCACTTCAGTCTGAGAAAACACGAGCGATGAACGGGTTCTTCAGCTGCTTACAGAAAAATCTCGCATTCATCGGTTCTTTTTGTTTGTGCTTGCAAACGCGTCTGGCTTGCAAATTATCATCGCAGTCAGACGCTGGTTATTGACAGCCATTAGGTACAGATCCTCCCTTCTTTTTAACTTGTGACTGATTTTCGTTACGCCTGTCAAAACTATTTTCCTTAAAGACCCACGCCGGCCATGGTTATTTCCTGGACCGCATGTCCTGCGCATAATTCATCTCTTGAAAAAGACACGGACAAACCTCACGTCTCCACCGCTATTATCGTCGCATCGCTCAGCTGTAGGTCACTCAATTCACGTGACCCCTCAGCCAATTCCGATACTGCTATCGATAATTCGCACCTTCGATACGGGGTCGACCCTTTCACGCACGCTCAGTTTCTGTGTATCACCCTCCGACGCCGCGGAATCTCAGTTCTTTTGTTTTTTCATCTTGCACTGTACGATTCTGGCTGCATTTGGGTCATGCCCAAGGATTTCACACTGTAATACTTCTGTTTATGCAGTTCATTTGAATGTATTAAATCCCAAGAAAGCCATAATTCTTCTGTAACGTATTTAAAATACTCCAATAAAGCTCACCGCTTCAGTATTTGAATGACCTTGAAAACGTAATTGTTATTTGTTTGGAGAAAGTATTGAAATTCATAAATCGGAACACAGGAATAAAAACAGATGGTTCTCCTTGCGTAGTTAACACTAATAACTGCAGCCTCTATCTTAATTTAAATATCAACTGCACAATGTATTTGTCGCCCAAATGGAAAGTTTTAGGAATACGTGATGCATGCGGTTAGACCACGCGTTTTCGCTAGGGTGACTCGGTCGTATCCCACTTCGAAAACTGACGTCTCGTGTTTTTGGAACCGAAACTTTGACAAACGTAACTGAGATCGATTCAACATCTGAAATTATAGTGGGCTTATTAAGAGTTTGTAATCGTAAATCTCATGTTTTGCATCAAATGAACGCTGAATGTATAAAATTCGTTTTGCTGTGTGTCCGCGTATTTTAGTTGCCTCGCTGTACGAAATTTCTAAACTCCGAGATTCAAGACACGTCCTACAATTCGGCACGAAAGCTGTAATTTTGCCTCCTATTTTATATGGGTGTATAACTTGGTATCTTACAGTAAGGGAAGGGCACAGTTTGAAAATGTTTGAAAACAGAGCACCGGGGAAAATATTTGGACTTTCCTGAAAAGCAGCTGGGAAAAATTTCATAATGTGTTGATCCATATTTTATACTTCTAGCAAAATATTATCAGGGCGATGTAATCAAATAATTATAAATGGTCGCAGAATGTATACATGACGTTGGTTCATAAATCTCAAAAAAAGACATAACTTGCACGACCTAAGAAGAGAAGGGAGGATAATGTTTGACCTGTTCTCAAATAAATGTGTTGCCAGGTTGTGAACAACATTCATCTGTCACTCCATAAGAACCAGCGGCTAGTTGTTGAGAACAAGGTAATGAACATTTTTTTTAAAAAAAAAAGATTATCGAATAACTAAGCTACTGTTAGCTTATCAATAAGGATTCTGATCGACGGAGCTGTGCAGAGCGTTGTACAACCCTGAGCAGAATTATTCATGTATTATGTGTGTTACACATTGAACCTAACTGCGTGGAATAAAGGTATTCGTTCTCAGATTGAATAGTTCGATCAGTGAGAACTGATGTCTTCCGAGTTCTTAGCGATTAAGGATTGGTCTTCATGTTACTATAGTAACCGGTTTTAAAAAGTTCTCAGGACCAATTTCCTTGATCACCTCTTAAATTGGTCTACTGTTATACACGTAATTACAGATAACATGTTAGATCAAGGAGGTAGATTTGAAACGATTAGTGCAATGAAGTTAGAAAGAAATGAAGGTTAATTTTACGTTCGGTGCTTGTATAAAAATAGGAGAAAAAGTTTCTGATTATAAGTCGATGTAGCTCTGTGCATGTCTGTGATTCTAAACCAGGCGTTTATTTCTTTCGGAATCTCTGATCAGTGTAAGGGGATGGGTTAATGATCTATAATCAGGAATCAATAAACCGTGTAATTTACGTACTAGAAAGGCAGAAGCCTTATTGAGGTTTTTCTCCTTGTTTCAAATTAAGCTTGTGTCACTGCTGTCTTTACGGTAGGCATTATAATTAATCCTCTCTTTCCATGACGACATGATTGTTTGTTTACATGATTTAGGACATCCAGACGTGTGTAATAAGCCATTCTGGTAAGTCCCTTGATTATTATACGAGAAAAAAAATCTGTTACAAGTTACTCTTACGTATGGTACACGGTTGTAACGTAATGATCTTTTAGACTTCATTGGTTAAGACTGTTTAACATTAAATTGCATTCATCATCGAATGTATTTGTACTGAACTTTGGCATTTACCGAAGAGTTTACTCGTCGCCAAAACCGAGAAGACAACTTCGGGAAATTCACTTTTTTTTAAGTTGAGATAAAATTTTTATATACTATATTTTTCTGGCTTTAAAATGCTTTGTCAGGAGCTGTGATTGCATAGTGTACTTCATTCACATATCGATACGTAACGGTACATAAATAGGCCTGGTAGTACACGATTATCTT